TCGGTGTTGGCGGCCGCGGTGCCGGCAGACGCGAATCCAGCGCCGCCGATCAGTTCGGGCCGGACACCGTTTATGCGGCACACGGACAACACGGACGCGGCGGCGGCGGCCGCTGCGGCCGCGGATGCGGGCGTCGACGTCTGCGTGCCGGTGTTCCAAAACGCCGACGACACGGACGTGACGACGGACTGCCTGCGCTGCTGGTACTGTTGCGTGACGGACATCGAGTCGTTGGCCGCGGGAGGCGACGTGTTGTTGCACCGCGACAACTGCTGTTGCTGATGTTGCTGCTGCTGATGCTGTTGCTGCTGCTGCTGCTGCTGCTGATGCTGCTGCTGCTGCTGCTGATGCTGCTGCTGATGGTGGTGCTGCTGCTGCTGATGCAGCGGCAGGTGTTGGTGTTGGTGCTGTTGCGGTGGTGGCGTCGTAGTCGTTTGAGCTACCGCTGACGACCAAGTCAACGGCGACGAGGGTGGCTGCGACGGCGGCGGCGGTGACTTGACCACGCAACTCATCGGGCTGGTCATCACCACCGACTCGCGCCTCTGCTGCTGCTGCTGCTGGTGCGCCGCCGCCGTGGCCGCTGCAGCCGCCGCAGCCGCGGCTGCGACCGACGGTGACGACCGTTCCGTCTTGTTGTCGGCCACCACCGTCCCGGACTCGTATCCCGTCCCGACCATGTCTTTTTTCTCGTCCAATATCTCCTCTTTGACTTGCACGCGTTCACCCACGTCATTCGGGTCCTGCCCGCTGTCCATGGTCACGCTGCCGCATTCGGGAGACGACGCCATCCTGTGCGATGGGCGACAAAATCGCAAATGTTATTAACGATGTACGATACAACTAATCAAAGGGTTCGCGTTCAGTCAACGGTGTTAACCGCCACAACCCATTGGTAAATAATGTATTACCGATGCGATGTGATCGGTGTACACGTGAGCGACGTCCTATAGCACGTGGTAGCGGAGGTATACACGGTCGAAGTTCGACGAACTTTCATCGAAACATTTTTGCGTACACATTGCAATTGAGCTTTTCGTGTTTCGTAACACGCGAAACGAGCAAACCCGTACTTAAAGTTACGGTTGAAATTCCGTTGGGTAAAATCACTTTTTTTTTTTAGTCATTTTTTAATTTTTAAATCTTTAAATGTTCAACTTAAAAACTATTCGAATTCATTCTGTACAAATTGATAAGTTACGTACACCGTACGCGCAAATATACGAGTACTTTCGGATCGGTTTCTTGTGCAAAATAAACTAGTGATACCCGCGAATTATGTTTTTTTTACGACTGTCCCTTGGTGACTTTTTTTTTTTACAAAAAATAATACACACGTGTTTACTCAGTATGAATTTTGAAGTAAATCATGTTTCATCTCCGCCAACACGACCACAGTTCATTATTTTTATTAATTAAGTAATTACGATTATTTTTATTATTGTATGCTTTAATATTTCCTACCTATCCATTGATATGATTAGACTGGGCGACGGTTCTGATCTGTCCAATCGGCTAGATGGAGACGCTGGGCCAGCAACGTCTGGTGATGAAGTACTCGTGTCCGCTATGCTCTCGCCTGTGTAATTATATAAACGCAAAATGTTAAAACACTCAAGGCGGTTTTTTTACGATTACATTGTTTTAGTTATATATTACTATAATTGTACTATAGTTTCGTATTGAGTATAATATATTCCGCAAGACAGATAAGATAAACGAACATTTTCAACTACTCCTTATTAGGTCACGCACTCACTAGGCTGGTAAAATATATACGATACGAACAACTACCGAACGATGCGTGATTTTTATACATATTTAATATTATACGCAGAAGAAAATACGTCTTCGCAACAGTCAACGTTAATATACCGCTTTCGTCCGAATAATACTACAATCACTTTGTCATATTCTCGTGACCATATTACATGAAGGTGAAATCTCACACGGAAAATGAAAGAAAAAATGTAGAATACTGGGTTTCGGACAAGACGCATATTATTTGTATTACTATTATTTTTATTATTATTATTATTATTATTATTATTATTATTACGCATTAGGTATTATTATTGTTGTTGCCGAGACGATACCGGTCAAATAGCTCAACCTACATTTTCTGGAGAAAAAGAATACTACTCTAGGAACCGATATAATACACCAAAATAAATAAAAATGACATTATGGAATTAGGTCAGGTCAGTTCTCATCATGAATACCACGTGGGTCAAAATACCGTACGTACAAAAAAACTACCGTGACAAACCCTTGGGGTTGTGGTTCCCATGACCTTATACAATGAAAACCAATGTCCTTTTGACGTCCTGATATATTTATTACCACAGCGATGGTATTGCAGGCTACTATTTACTGTATTATTATATATTCCTCCCCAATAAATAAATAAAGGAACTCGAAAAGAATTATACGGACGAGGAGTATGTACGTGTACCGTTTACTGTCAAAACAACACAAACATCGAATCTGGGATGATGCCGATTTGTTTCGGTCACTAGGTTAAGTATTTTGTTCCTGTCAGGGGTCGACTTCAATTAATGAAGATATGTCGTCACGGTTCAATGAGGGCAATACGACAACTGGTATTACATTAATAACGCCATGATACAATTGTGAACAGTGAATTTCAAACTTTCTCGATAAACACGCAAAACAATGTCTGCTCTTACACTTGCATTTTTTCGATATTTTTGGTTTAAACAAAATCAAAAAAAATTACATACGTTTTATTCACTTATTTTGTTCGCTAATGTTACTTGTCTCACAGCGAACACTGCAGTACATCGCATACTTACATTATTATGTTTTGAATATTATTTTTTTTTAATTTAATTATTGGTGTATCATGTGTACGATAAAAATAAAATAAACTGAACAAATATTTAAATGTCATCATAGCAAACAATTATAAAAATAGTTTTTTTTTTTTTTTGATACTTTTAAGTACATTTAAGAAATTCGCGTAACTTGTAAGGCACAACTGTAACTATAAAAACGTCGAATCATCAGTAAGTTAAATGGAATTAATCTAAATTTATGAATAAGTAAATAGTTTAACAGTGCGTACTAACTGGGTTATGAAGATATAATTAATATATAACAAAATAGTAATATATTTTAATAAAACCGTATAAAATTCATCGAAATGCTTGTTTATACGTTATATAGGTAATAAATAACACGCAAATGTTAAAGTTTATGTTTAAGGGGCGAAGCTATACAACACTCTATTTAAAAGGGTTGTATGCAAATGCAAAATATGAATGAGTAATAACAAGCTTATGTGAAACAAGTTGAAAAGTATATTGAATATTACGCTTAACCAAAAATTTTTTAAAATATTTCATATAATATTACACGTATCTTAAATAAAACGTAAAATGTGTATCGATTACTTAACTATTATGAGTAACTAAAACAGTTTTTTTTTTCCAAGCGCACCCATAAATTTTTTCAATCCTTGGAAAGGGCTTAATATTAAAAATGTTATCGTGTCTGATCTGCTTGGTATTAAAGATAAACACGTATAGAATTTTGTTTACTGTATTTTAAAGTTTAAAAAATAATCATGCTTAAGACTACCAATATATAAAAGAAACTGCGTTTTCGAGCACTAAGCTCTTTGAAAAAGTAAAATTTCTGAACTCTTACCGTCACTGCTGCACCTTGAATCTATTTTGCGCCTCTTCAGTTTCAGGTCTTGAAACAGACTCATGGTACTCAGGTCACACGGGGTACTTGTTAGGGTCATAATTCCTGTTCAACAAAACAATATATCATTACGATTATGTAAGTACGGCCGCCAAAGGAAAACAATCAATACAGTAGCAAAATATGATATGTAATGCATGGAATGTCCCACCGAATGGCACGTGTACGATGGTTATCACTAGACTACATTAAGTGTGTTTACAACAAATATTGGACGTAGCCGCACGACGTTCCATTCCCATATACAAAACGCGCTCGGAAACGCAGAGAAAAAAAATAAAAAAATAAAGCGAAACATTTAATATGATATTATTGTAAAACATGCGTGTACACACAATTCAACAATTACCTCACTTAATGTAAATATGTTTAACAAGTCGTCGGATATGATAGTTCAATATATTAATTTACGTAACAACGAATTCGCGTGAAAAACAATTCGTCCCGTAACGTAACAATCGTAACGCGAAGAGCAAAAAAAAAAAAAATCGACCATCGCGTTGCCCGTCGACGACGACGAGTGTGGGAGAAAACGCTATCATCTACCGACGCCGTACATACGCGTTCAGTCTCCGAGCAAATACTGTCACTTTCTCTTCAATCTTTTGTCGCGCGGGCACGAGCACGCCCCACGGCGCGAAACACCCGCGCTACGGCATCTCACTCCCTCTCGGTCTTTCCGCGCACGGGGTAACGCCCAACACCGTACGACCGAGGCGGCGGCGGCGGTGGCGAAGACAACGACAACTGATTTAAAATTAATACGCGCACCCGTCGGATCCAACGACCGCCTTTTGCGAACGTTTTCCGTTCGTTCGTCTTTCGTCCGCTTGTCGGAAACGGAAAAAAATAAAATACCGGGAAAACCTGGATGCGATAAAAGCTCGTGCGACGAGTGACTACCGCGAGAGCGGATGGCGCGTTGCCGCTGCAGCAACACCGTGCCGACGCATCGCACGATAATGTTGCGTTGTTACTAACGTTTAGGTATTTTTTTCGTTTGGTATATTTTTGATTTTTTTTTTCCACGGGTTTTTCGTTCTATCGAGGAATGGTTATCATTTTGCGCGTCGGACGGCACTGACCGCGAGAACGACGGATCAAAAACGATGTAGTTCGACGGTGACGACGGAGACGACGATTGCTACTGCGGCGGCCCGGTACATGATCGATGGCGATCAGTTCGGGAATGAGCCGCTGTTACGCGGCGTTGGAGAAAACCGAGAAAGAAAATAAAACGAACGCTTACACACGCGGCGCGAAGGCTTGTGCAATCTGTCTGTTTAATGCAAAACGAACGGTTTTTTTTTTTATTATTTATTTATTTTTATTTTATTTTTTTGGTGGGACTTACGGCCAATGGTAGATGAGGCCACAGACGGCGAATGATGACGGCGAGTGTGTGTGTGTATCGCGTGAAGGTTATAAGTGGGGTCGCCGCCGGTGTAAACGAAGAGGGAAGAGGTCGGTAACCTGCGCCGCGGTAAGTAGGTCAGCGCAGTGCGAGTTCGCCCACCCGTTCGGCGGCGACGGTATAACGCCGCTGTATATTTAAACATCGTCAAAACATACGCGCTGTGTATATGCACCTCCACGGCAACCATATCATCTTCACCGTCGTCATTACCATGCCTCTCGCGTTTCTTTCACCCTCTGTACTCATCATCCCGTCGGACTTACGGAGTACGTACGGCAGAGTCGTGGTCTGAGAACACGATATTATGCGTAGGACGTTTTCAAAAGAAAACATGTCGTTCGGACTGATTCTTCGCCAAAGCTGTTGTGTACACGGTTACGGAGTAACAAAAGAGTTTTTGAGCACTATATTTAGAGAAGAAATGTACGATTTCAAAGTTCATTTTTGACTAACATTTTAGGCGTTAAATTACTTTTTTCTATGATCAATTTCATGATTTTCAACTCGTTAGGTACGAAACCAAAGTGTACACTAACTGTGGAAGTCAATTGAATACTAAATCTAGTACCTACATAGCGTTACCCTAGACACATACACGGGCCAATAAGCGATAGCGAGATTGAGTATAAATTACGAGTTCGCCGAATATTACTCCGATTACACAACTCGATAAATAAGTAAAAAAAACAAACGTGCGGCCGGTTTTCGATTGTTTTTATTCTTCTATTTGTCGATTCGACGTAACGACTATACATAGACAGAGAGAAACAAATGAACGGTTTCGACTATTACTATTATTATTATTATTATTATTATCATCATCGCCAAACCGGATTGCCAGACCAAACGAAATTTGTTCGTATACGTTCTTTTTATTTCGTTTATGTAATAAGCATTTCACTCACTGGTTACATCTTTCGCAGGTATCTAAGAGGAACCTAACCTATTTATAGGAACATCGTTTACTGCCACAGCGTGACGGCAACGCGAACAACCGCGGCGCGCGCGTTGGCCGGGCGAAAAAAACATGGAAAAGTTGTATAAATTATTTGAACGTCACACTTTGAACTGCTATGCACATGAGTGATGAATATCGGTTTTTGTCCGCGACATCGTTATTTTATACAGGTATGCCGGCGATATTAGCACCTCGGAACAAAGAGGCGTTAGTTTTGGTTGCAGAATAATTTCGGTATATTGTTCCACGGTGTTCGGAAATTTCTTTTCAACCGCCGCGGCTGTCACGAAAAATAAAAAAAGGAAAGGACTATAAAATAACGCGTATCATATATAAACGATCGCAATACACGTACGCGCGAGCGCGCGATATGTTCAATCGTTATGATAGGCGCGACACAGTCAATGTTTTATTTCTAGGCATTCTTTACGCGCCGGACCGTGTCGATTCTTGGAGGTTTTGTTTTGTCCGAACGTCCTTCTATTAAATTACGTCCTTAATATTGTGTTAGGTACGGCGTATATGCGCGATATACCTCAAACTCGACGGATAGAATGTGAACAGAAGCAAAGAGACAAAGATTTATACGTTCACATCCCGCGTGTCTTTTAAAATGTACATATTGCGTCGGGAACGACCAAAAGATAAGCAAAAGATAAGTTCGGTCAGTGCGAAAGTTGTTTGCCGGTGCAACGTATATGAAAAGAAAATCTTAGGTGATGGATATGCACAATCCGCATACTCATTCCATCCGGATGATAGTTATATGGTTAAATTATCGTTTATACGTATACGAGTAATAGTAAGTGTAATTATGTTAGCAAACGTTGTCGGATCATTAGCCGAGCTCAGTAAAAATAATAGTAATAATAAAAAAAAAAAAAAAAACAATAATCGGTATTATAATATTATATAGGTCGAATTTGTTTTCCAAACGTTCGTTTTATATCTGTAATATGACGTCATATCACCATCGGATTCATCAGCGTGTTAATACCGTTGTTATTTCCGACGCGATGATAATACAACTGAACGCGATACGATTACCTATAAACAAAATATAATGCTATATCCAGTACAGATTAAAAAATATACCAAACACGTATTTTATAGGCAGCACAGGAAGATACGCAATAGAATATAAAATAATAAATCATGATTCCCTACGCTAAGGAATGAAGTCGTTTGGTGTGTCGGTTTCTGCACATTTTCTTTTGCCCCGAAAACTTGCGTTCATTTCGTGTACGCAGTATATTATAAATCACCCGAAAAAAAAAACATGCCAATTAGTACAGCGCTAATTATTATTACTATCAAAATGTTCTAACTGTTTCGGCATTAAACCATTATTATTACTGTACATGACGACGTTTTGTTCTTTCGCAACCAGAGCAGAGTGTCTTTTTATTTTCGTTTATTCGTTCGGTTGTACGCGCATATTACACATTTTATTTTTTTCCTTATGACCAATCAAGTTCATGTTCACGAATCGTTACGTGTTGTGTGCACATGTACACGTTACATATTTTATTCCGCGCCTATTACAAATAATGTCAGCAGCGGTATCAAATGTAAAAACGCGACACAAGCCAAAAGCCAATCGTACGAAAATAGAACACTCCTTGGAAGATAATTCTACGTCAACAGACATGGGAGACGTTTTCGGCCAACAACTGTGACATACATTCGATTTTAACATATTCCCCGTCCGCAATGTACACTCTTCCGACGTACGGTTGATGCGCGCGCACGCGCACGCGCGTTCCCGATGACAATGTTGTACATAACAATAATATGCTCGCCGCGGCCCGGATGTAATATTCCGGCATCCGGCTTACACCTGCGCGTCGGTTGTGTACATCTACCCTACACGTGACAAGACGTTGGTTTTAATTTTTTTTTCCGGGTGGAGGCGTGTTATTATTGCGGATCTGATTCATATTCGCGATTGAATATAAATATGTTCAACAATTGCAGTTTGACTGAAAATCAACAATTACCTACCAAGGTCTGTAATGGAATATTAAAAATGAAAAAAAAAAATGCTTTTCTGACACATATTTTGTGGAACATCAACATCGATCGTTATTTATATTTAGTGATATACGTTGCGCACAAAAATAATCATCGAGCAGTCATTGTTTTTTTTTTTTTTTAAACAATAAGTGACCCAAGTTTAGCGTGTGCGAATTTGCACACGTAGCATTACCCAATGTGTAAGCCGTTTGATGTTTTGCACCACTATAATCCACGTAATCGTATAAACACATTGTCGTCATGTCGGACGTGAACAAAGTAGGTAGGTATGCGTGTAGAAGGTGTAATGTGCACGAGAGAAAAAAATTTATTTCACTCCGGATTTCAACGAACCTAACCGTCAGGTGTTGTTGTTCCGGTGACTGCTGTAGAGATTAAATTTATGTTTTTTTCGGCGTCCAAGTATTTATAGATAAAAATATAGGAAAAAAGTTAAGCAACGTTTTATCTTTGCGTTATTATTTTCGCGTTCTACGTTTAACGTTTTAGTCCGGTTTGAGCGATAAGAGGAAAATAAAATAACCGGCTGCCTATATCATTGGAAACGAGTTCAAGGCAAAACGGGCGGCAAAAACCTCGCACCCGTTGTCGGCCGGCCAACGACCCGGCGACCGAGATCTCGGTTAGTGCAAAGGTCGTTTTATGCGATATTTTCGTCCCCACTCTCATTTAGAGATCCATTTAGTAATGTAATAATCAATGATCATAATTAATTTGGCCGTCATCCGTCAAAACGATTTGTATTTGTGAAAGATTCCCATTATATATACTAATATTTATATTATTTACTATACGCATAATAATTACACACAAGATGTATATCAAAACGTTCATCGTTAACAATTCATAGCGGTGTTAGCAAAAATGTACATAGGTTTTAATTCGTCTAAAAAAAATTTCTGTTAAAAGTTAATACCACATTTCGTAATATTTTCATTGCCGGTGTATGTATAAAAACGTACCTATACGGCTTAATATTATATTTTACACGTGTTGTTGTTATTATAGAAATACGTCGAGGTAATTATAAAAACAGCTCCGTTCGACAAGATTGAAATTATTGTTGGATTTTTTATTACTTTTAAATAATAAAAAATATCATTATCATTATCCAGAGTACTTTGTTGATATGTTCACACAATAAAAGGTGATAAGCGATTTTACGTTATTATGTATGATGGCACCCAGCTAGCAATAATGTTTTGACTTTTAAAGCAGAAAATGATAACTATACGAATAACAAGAGCGTTAACAACCTAAATGTATGTACTTAAACAGTGTTATAAGCACAGTTAAAACGTATGGTTTAAATTATATTTTTTACTCACACCAAATATTTTCTATTATAATCAAAAATTTTGTTTTTTTGGAACACATTTAATATTACCTATTTAAAAATAATGACTGTACAATGATATTATTAGTTTGTGCAATATAATATATTTTATACATTTCACATAATTTTTATAGTAAAATTGTACTTGAAAACATTTATTAAAAAAACTACTTAATTAATAATGAGTTTTCCACACAGAAGATAAAATATACGAGTACTATGTGTACATTTTAAACTGTATCAGTTATCGTTGGACAAAATAAAACACATCAAACATAAATAAAATACATTTGGTCTTGCTTTCAACGTCGTTATAATTTGAAAAAATGACATCATTTTTAGTTGACTAAATTAATATTTATCATTACTTATATGTGTTACATGTGTATAGGCAATATATTGTAATAAAATGTATTATTGACGTTTTGTTTATTAAATAAAAATGTTCAAATGTAACTACTTTCAAGTTTCAGTATGTTATTAATTATTTTCAATTATTGAAAATAATTATTATTCCTAAGAGGATTTAATAATATTAAGTAACTTATAATTCAATTATAGTTCATAGTTATTAAATAAACTAACCAGGAACTAAAACTTCCTTAAATATAAAATAATAATAATGTATATGATTTATTATTATTTATTATTTATTTACTTATTTACTATACAGCATATTATTACTTTAAATTGTATACAATAATTTATATAACTTTAATGAAATTGTTGTATTTAAATAATTAGGTTTTAAATTTGAGTTTTAAAAATTACCATAGATAATATTATATAATTATTATTACATGCGTGAAAATAATTAAAATTCCACTGAATGAATGTATAAGAATTAACCGTACATTTTTTTTAAAATATTAAGTTAATTTAAAACATTTATAAATGTATTAGATATTAAAAAATAATAATTGTCATTTTTAACACACTAATTTAACTTTTTTCTACCGAAATTGAATATTATTTAAATTTGAATGAATTATTTTCTTTTTTTTATATATTACATGCATATATAATTTGGACGTTTGGTCATGATTTAAAAATATTAAAGTGTGTACTTAAACATTAGCGACCATAGTTGACAAGATTACGTATTTAATCTAAAACACCTAATATAGACTTTTAATTTCTATAAGTACTACTAAAAACCGTTATAAAAACTACATCATGCATTATTTCATTCGTGTTTTGTTTATTTGACATACACGTTGTAAAAAAATAAAATCGAACAATAGTTCTACTGTAGGTTGTCACAATAAATAGGTCCTTGAAGCTTCAATCTGCCTTGAACCATACCGGCCCAATAATTAATTCCAGCACCGATCTATAGGTATACGTTTTTCCCAATCGTTTAAAGGTTATGACGTCGACATCCTTCTTAGAGATTAAAAAAAAAAATAATAATAATATCCATCTACACCTAACTATACAGATAACGATATTGTATCGTTTAGCATTGACCAAAATAATACATGGATGTATAAACTGATGGGTCACCGGATCCATTAGAGACAAAAATAAGTGCAATGCGTTGGTACACGATTAATCGGTATACTATGTAAATGTAAATATTTCTCCGAAAATATATGATATACGAGTTGTGCGCATACGTGTGTCTGCATACGTGCGTTACCGATCCGTGTTTCACGTACCTATAGACAATCTGGTTCGAATCTAGGACGTACAGATAACAAAAAAAAACTAGGGGGATCGCTTATCAATGGGAAGTATACGCAAGCGGCGAGAAATGGACGAAAAGGCTTTGGTAACAGATAAAATGAAATTGTTGTTTTAATTATATTAAAGCACGATTACGACATTGCAATAAGACAACGGCGCTTCCAATCGTCGGGTCGTATCAACCGGGCCAAGGTTATATTGAAGCATAGTCCTATCACGCTTGCACATCAAATAAACGACATCGCGTTCGAATACAATGAACTTTACGCACTTCGTTACTTTCCCCCTCCCCTCCTAATCGCTTCTACGTTTGCAGCCGACGTTGCTATTTAGGCTCTTGTGTTATAAAAATACTTTGATTATTTTTATTTTTATTTTTTTCTACTTTATACCAAAATTGTGTATTTACTCGTACCATGTTATTAATCAAACTTGTGCTATAAATACCTCGCAACGGCACAACACATTGCATTTACAAATAAATCAAAATTGTTTTTAATCATCGTACAATATTTTCCGTAATTTTATTTCATATTCTTTATGCCAGAATAACCCACTCGGTCCGTTATAAATATCATATAACATACGAATCAAAACTTTCCAAATCACGAGTTGTCTGTTAACATGTTGTGAATACAATTAATCTTATGCTTTTTACCTAGTGCTTTTAAATATACACGTTCAATAAAAATTAAAATTTATTTAAAAAAAAAAACAAAAAGATTCCAGCAGTGTAAATATTTCAGCAGATTAGCAATTGCACAGGAGATATTTATCTAATATTTCCATAATTCGTTATACTCGATGTCCCTGGACTAGTTGCACGAAGGTGGACACTCAGAAGGTCGTAGAGGGTCAAAAACCTCGATGAAGTACTTTTTTAGAATACGGTCACGTTATGTTGTTGTTAATATATTTGGTAATTTGTTGAATGCTCGTAAAAGTAAAAACAGTCCCATTCAGCCGAAAAACACCCATACATTATGTCGAGTAGGTAGGTATATACATAACTTATAAAATAACAATATAAAATCCACATGATATAGTATTAAATCACAACCAATTTCAATGACGGTTTTTACATTAGTATACACAACATGAACCTGAAAATAACAGGTAATATGATCTTAGTTAAGGTTCACTGAAAATTAAAGGTATACTTGTTTTGTCCAACGCCTGTGTCATTTTATCTTAATCTTCTCGGATCTTCGTCTTACTTCTAACACTGCTTTTTTCAAAATTTTTTATTCCATCCGACTTCTAAAACACAACCGTAAAAGCTTTTTAGCTCAATTGAAAATATGGTTTGTCCTCCACGCCATTCTTTTTTAACAATATAATCAAACTGAAAATATACTTCTAAAAAAAAAATACATTTAAAAAAATGTATTTTTGCAAATTTTTAACTTTAACTATCTGAGTTTTGAACTAAATCGGTTCTCAGAGAGTAATCATTACGAACTATGGTTTGGGTTAGCTAACACCTGGCTACACTGGTTTTAGCCCAAGGCCTGCGCGCAAAAGTGAAAGTGACAAACTAAGCGGCATTGAGCCAGTCCATCTACGTTAATGTTAAGGAAGGCGTTTTGATTATGCAGGTTGTAGCAATGTAAAGATCAATGAACTCAGTAACAGACAAACACTTTGAGAAATTTAAAAAAAATCTTTGTGCAGTACATGATAACCATTCACATATGGGAAAAAAATGTAACGCTATATTGTAATCGATAAGGGAAAATATTGAACAGAATTACTTCTGTTAAAAAACTGTTTAATTAATGTAAATAATGTGATTATAATAGCAAATGCATTATTACACATTAATAATAATAATAATAATATCATATATTATTTATATTTTAAAGGAGTCATACGTTAAAATGTGTTATTGTCGAATTAAGTTTTTGTACTCACCAGTGAAGAGAGTGTAGGTAAAATATTTACTCCATCCTAACGATTGTGATAGGTGTAGTACACATGTATAATAGAATAGTTTTTAAATGTTGTACAGAATTATAAAATAAACAAAAGTTAAATTAACATGTTAAGAAATTGTAGTTAATAAAAATTAATGAAGAGCATAGCTTTTAACTTGCAAAGTGAGTGTGTTATACAATAAAGAGAGCGGATTCTCCCCAAATTTAATAGAATTTGTGTAATGTATACAATTTATTATGCTCGAACCGGTTTTTATTTTAGAATAAGCGAATTATATTTATCTTTAATTATAAAATTAATTGTTGTATATATATTTTAAGGGATCTTATATTACTGAATATTCTACCAGCTTTTCACCAATATCTGAATAACTTATTATTCTCAGCTGATTTGCTTACTGTATCTTAATTTGTATTGCAGATTGCAAATTTTATATTTTTTAAATAAAAAAATATTGATATATTGTTAATATCGTTTATGAAATGTATAAGTTACAGTTACAGAAATTTGTAAGTTAACAGTTTATACATATATATATATATTTTTTTTTTGGAAGAAAACTATTGCGTGCTGATGAACGTCAAGGTTACATGACAATCTCTATTGCAACACATGCATATATTGAAAAATAGGATCTTTTAGTGTACTTCAAAATTATATTTAAATAGGTTCCTTGTCGTGTATATAAGTTTGATTAAATTTTTTATCGAATGGTACCTACCTACCGCATAAATTTGTTTGCGTAAGATTCAATACGAGGATAATCAATAATTACAAAATGTACTATGGAGTTATTATAAATTGATAGAGTTATGAATGTCAAACGAAAGGTCTTAATAAATTGTCATTATCCTTTATAAAATAAGCAAATTTAAATTAGAACGAATTGAATAAGAAGTTTTAAAGATAAATCTATGTATATATAACAACGGATGCCATTAAATTGTTATGTAAACATCCGAGAAAGTTTTGATAAATACAATGATAATAATATATAATTAGCTTTTCAAGTCTACAATTCTGTCGACCGTTGTACAATTGTAGTTGATGAATCTACAATAAGGAAATGCAACCACGATCAACCTTATCCAAGGTTTTAGTATTTCTATAAGGAGGTCGTTTGGTATCAGTTCTAATCCATTAGATACAATAATTTGACTGAAAATCCCAATCAATCAATAGCAAATTACTCTGGGATATAAAGTTACTGAAATGTCTGCGTTTTAAAAAATATCATGAATATTTTATGTTTGCAAATATTGTTTTTTTTAAGAACGAATCCAGCACAAATCATATGTTTTTACGAGTGTCCTTATATTGAACAAAATACGCATTATGTGAACAGAAAAAAAAAAACTAAATAGATATCGTTTAAATATAAATAATAATAATGTTGCTCATAGACATGTGTGCATGCAATGATCATTCAAAAACGAGCGATGCATTATTTTGATTTTGTTTGGATAACTCTCCTATACATCACTTGTGATGATATTTTACAAAATATTTACAAGCCACGTAACGAATATTTTATGGGACCGAACGAGGATTAGTGCATATTTAAAACTTCCCAGTGCAATATTACTTAATTAATAATGTGTTGTGGGATTAAGTATCCGAGAAATTCTCGGGATAAACAAATCTTTGGCGCCACTGACCCGTGCGTACGTATACGAGTGATTGAATTATACGCTTATCGACGATAAAATCGTAATGATATTACGAGCGGGACGAGGCCAGATGCGCGGGAGAAATATACTTTGGTCAACAACCTCCGTTAGAACGTCGATGATATTTTTCTCGTATTGTTTATCGAAATCACAAACTGCACATTCGTCGCAGTGACGCCCGTATAACACCTCGTATAACTACGATTTGCATCACGCTGAATCCATAATACAATGACCCCGGTAGCACTTCGTTTATAACGATATTATCCGGGCCATCACGAAAAAAAAAAAAAACCACAGTAAGCTGTTTATAATTCGTTATCATCTATGTACTTTTCGAACAATAAAGCCGTGTAGGTCGAAGGAGATATTGCGTGATTTACTGAACTGCGATTTCCGAAAGTTGTGCGCTAACAGAAATATGTTATTGTCATAGTGATACCGTTTCGTATTGCTCGTATGCGCCACGTGATTATTGTACTCGATTATAGTTTCGATAACGGTAAAACGTGGTGAACAATATATATACATTACTTACGGCAAACTTTGAACGTCTGCAAGTAATTTAAATCGGAAATCGGGGGCGAGACATGTACACACGTACGTTGTCTAAATCTCTTCAACATTTGTTGGAACATTAATTGTCTTATTTTATGAGTAAACGAAGTAGGTGTTATAGTCCGTACTATTAATATATTTTTAAGTGCATAGATCGTTTTAATGAAGTCTCTTTTCCTGTCGTTGAAAATAATTGGTTTATGCAAGGCAGGTGTTGTACACGAGTTTCAAAAATCGTCCAAGAGAATGATTTTTATTTAATAAATTATCAATGGATTGTTCTGTTCTGTCATTATATTTCATATCGACTTGAATAGGTTTATTATTAGTTTATCAGTCGCATATACTAAACGTCAGTGACGTGCGCAGTGAGGGATGAGTGGGGATATATCCCCCATGGGCTTTTTTTTTCTTTTAGTCTTAAACGTTTAGAAACGTATTTAAAAAAGACATTCCATTATCTACAGAACAAATAATTTATAGATTTAGTGTAAAAGTCAGAAGGATGAATTTCCTCCTTAATTGAATTATTTTTCTATAATAATAAAGAATAAAGTTTGAAAATAATACATTTTTATTTATGATATCCCTCCCATACCAAATTCCTGCGCAACGCCACTGATAAAGGTTATTTAATGTTAGATGTTATGTTTTTAACGCGCGTCAGAAAGCATTACACCTCTTGTGGTGTTTGAATATTTTAAAATGACAAGCGAACGAAAAAAGTCCTATACATACGTATATATGTGTGTGTATATAAGTTCTCCCAACTACACAGACGTATTATCGTAGTATGGGTGTACTACACCTATTCGGACGGATTGGTCTCGGGCCGAAGAAATATCGTGGGACTCGGCGCGCGCGGGGAAGCGTCAAGTTTTTACGTGTGATAATTTTTAAGGTCACGTTCAAGGTGCTCGGGAACCTCGTCCTCCTCTTTCTCCGCGTCATCCTCTCCTGTAAGCGCGGACGACGCGAGAGAAGCGCGCGCGCGCGTATACTGCGGGTGTGCACCGCATTACTATTGTTGACCAAAACGTACCTTAGCGATAAGGAATCCATTTGCGGTGTCCGCTGATCGATACGCACGAGTTTCGACGGACTCGCGACGGACAAGGTTATCGGATCGTATCGGTACGGACGGTGTGCGACGCAGAGACGTGTACGACACTTCGCATTAAGTGTACGTACGTATAACGTTGTTTTAACAATAAACGTGCGGAGAGTGGAAAAAAAAATGGAAAACGAAAATTGTATTTATCGTTGCGGCGAAAACTTCGAGCACTACGCTTTGATCACAACGGTGCGGCGCGAACCGACGACGACGGCGACGGAGGAGCTGTACGGCTGTTGGCGGCGGGTTAGTGCTGCGCGAAAAAGATGTGCACGCGAAATACAGAACGCGTGTGTACGCGGCGGCGGTCGCGGCTGCGTGCGGTGTACTATGCGGTTCGAGAGGACGACGACAAGGAACGCGTTTCCGAACCGTCTGAGCCGCGGACACTTTCTCCCGGCTCGGGCACGGTCCACCGCCGAGCGCACGGGTCCTTTCTCCTTTCGTCCGCCGTGTTGTTGCTGCGTGCCTACTACCAATGCTGTTGCTGTCCCGTACACTTTGTACAAACGTTGCCGCCGTCGTCCGGGGGGATATACACACGTTGTACAGTTGTATTGTACTGCACGGGCCGCCGTGCGACCGTATCTGTCACCCGCCGGTATAATATTGTTGTTACTCTCACTCGATTTAAAGTATCTGTGTACGGCTATAGAAAACACACACACACACACACACACACACACACACACACACCTACGCACGAGTAAACGCACACAATGGTCTTAACATAGGTACGCGCATAGCACACGAAAACGAAACGTTCATCTCACACCCCCACATCCCTCCCCCCACCATCCGTTAGTCGTGGCGGCGTGTAAGGAGACACATAAAGCTAGTGCAGTAAACGCGACCTATTGCACTTCCGCCTTGTTAGCACTTCTCTTGTTATGATAACGTTCTTCGTCGTTGTCGTGACCGGTATCGGATTTATTCACCACCCACATATCGCGCTATCGATCACGATATTTAAATACATT